AGAGAGAAAGAGAGACAGGAAGAGAGAAAGAGAGACAGGAAGAGAGAAAGAGAGACAGAAAGAGAGAGAGACAGAAAGAGAGAAAGAGACAGAAAGAGAGACAGGAAGAGAGAAAGAGAGAAGAGAGAAAGAGAGAGAGAAGAAGAGAGAAAGAGAGAGAGAAGAAGAGAGAAAGAGAGAGAGAAGAAGAGAGAAAGAGAGAGGAAGAGAGAGAGAGGAAGAGAGAGAGGAAGAGAGAGAGAGGAAGAGAGAGAGAGAGAGAGAGAGAGGAAGACAGAGAGAAAGCACGAGCATGAGAACGTGAGCATGTGCCTTGGGATAAAAATTGTATCTAGCTAAATGCTGATCCCATGATAAATGACATGCACTTGCCACTGAGATAATGTTATTGAGCCCCAGTAAATGCATTGTGCATGCACATGTGGTTCAAGTCTTCATATTTTCAAGCAAAAAAATGTTTATATACTGAAAATTTTGAACTTCGTAAATGGGAAAACATGCTAACAAAAAATGCTTAATTTAAACCTACTTTCCACACTACCGTCTGAAAAATAAGAAGAAAAAAAACTACAATAGAGAAAACACTGTTACATAAATAGCACGCAAATATCCATGGGATATTAAGAGTACTAACTTATTCATAAATGTCGTTGAACCCAACTAAATAACACTCCCTAAAAAAGCGTTGAAAGTAATGATCATTAAGTTCAATCGCCTAGAGGGATTCGCGTATTAAAAGCTAAGAAACGTGTGTTATCTTCACCTATTATGTAGCACTGTGCACGTCTTGTTGAGCTGTGGGTAGAACACACAGTGTTAACCTAGGATGCACAAGCGAATCGTCCAAGGAATGTGAAGAGAGATAAGAGAAAGAAGCTCAGGACAATCAATGAAATAATATAGTATTTTATGGAAGAATATTCATCGCAGAATTTTCTATCTTGAAGAGTTTCCAACTTAAATAAATTATAGAATTGGGAAAGGTTATGATCAAATCTATGAATTGAGGTACTGTTTCTGAAAGATAGGCGGTGTAGAAATTTACACTGTACTTTTTCCAAATGATCGATAGATAAAATAGTGTAAGGTGGCCAAATTACAGAGGTGTATTCTAAAACATAACAAATCAAAGTTTTATAAAGAATTATTAATTTATCAATGGATCAGAAGGATTTGGTGTTGCGTAAAATCAGTCAAAGGGAATGCAGAGCATTCTTCACTGTAACAGTCATATGTATATTAAAATCAAGTTTAGAGTAAAAGTCACTCCAAGATTCCTGTTGCAGTTAGTGTTAAGAGATAGTGCTCAAGGATTCACCATTTAAAGAATATAGATAGCTCACAACATTATGTCTCAGGACAAATGTCATTGCACAATCACTTTTCAGGGTAGAGTTCCATTCTGTTTGTAGAACACCACTGCAAGAAGGCAGAGAGACCCACTTGCAAGCGGCAGGCATCATTAAAATCAGAAATCTTGGCTTCATCCACAAACCTTGATGACAGCATTGAGGTACACCAGAACTAACTATAAATGGCTTGGACGCATGGTCATTAACAACAACAACCTTGCTTCTGCCGGAAAGATATGAGCGTATCCAGGATAAGCGTGGATCATTGATATCTAAGTATGACAACTTGTCAACCAATGTCATGATTAGCACGATCGAAAGCATTGGCAAAATTCTTGTACTCTGTATCAACTTGAAATCAGATTCAAATTCAAATGATATAACTAGATCTAACGCTTTTTATATAGCTAGATTAGTTGTAGCAGATCAACGGAGGGTACTCCAAAAGTTTCTGGAATGGAAAGGAAGTGATTTATTTTCAAATGTGCCGTCAATAATGCCTATTCTACAGTCTTATTGCGGCCTCCTAGTTATCTAGATCAGATCAGTCAACTGGTATCTTATTGTTGATTCATTTAAGGTGGGCTGTTGTTTGCTTGCCTTGATAAGTGATGGATCTGTCTAGAGAGCACTTTCGGGCTTTCATTTTCTATGATTTTAAAGTTGGTCTAAGTATTAAAGGTTTTGATCGGATGAGGACTGCATTCGGGGATTCTTCCACATCAAAATCGACTGTTTATGAATGGTATTCGGAATTTCAGCAGGGGGGCAAAGTCACTTGAAGATGAACCTTGCAAGGGATGATCACAGACAGATGAAGAAAACATCTCATCTGTGAAGTCAATGAAGGATGACTCACGCTACACTTACCAGCAGATACAGCAGCCTCTGGACATTGGCTCCTTCGCAATGTCATGAATTTTGAATGAAAACTTTGGAGTCAGGAAGGTTAGCAACCAATGGATCCCACATTGTTTGTCTGAGAAACAAATTGCAGGTTGTCTGAACTGGTGTAAAGGAATGTTGCAAAAGTTTGAGGCATGCAAAGCAAATTTTTGATATTGTAATGAGATGAATCTTGGATATACCAATTTGACCTCAAAACCAAACAGCAATCTATGATCTGGATCTTCCTTTATGAGAGAGCACCAACAAAGACCAAGAGATCACGAGATGGGAAAAAAATGGTTTGTTTCTTCTTTTCAGCCAGTGGTCATGTAGCAACTGTGGCACTTGAGGACCAAAGGACAATGACAGCACACTGGTACACAACTGTTTCAGAAAAGTCTTCGAGAGCATTCAAAAGAGATGACCAAAGAGTTTGTGCATAGTCTGCTTTTGCATTATGACAACACGCCAGCTCACACAGCTCAAAAAGCCAAAGAATTTTATCAGAGAATCATGTCAGACTTCTACAGCAGCCCCCTACAGACCAGACATGGCCACCTGTGACTTCTGTTTTTTCAAACGTTTAAGAGACAATCATAGGATGCTGGTTTGCAACCCCAGAACATGCAGTAATTACCTACGAAGCATTTCTAACAGAGCTTCTGAAAGAACAATGATGTGAATTTCAAAAACGGTTTCAGAGGATGGGTTACTGTATAGATGTTGGTGAGGAGAGTGGGGGGATATTTTGAGCAATAATAATGATAAGAATCAGTTTCCTCGTCTTTAAACCTTCTTTTCTGAAAACTTTCAGAGTGCCTCTGGTATTGTTAGTAAAATCATGTTGGTAGTCTGAAATAATTGTGTAAAAGTGTGATGCCAAAGCATTAACCACAAGTTTCTCGAAAAGTTGGAAAAACTCACTGAGAATGAAAACCCACTGAAGGGAAAATCCACAGGTCTAAGAATTGGTTAAAGATATAACATAGTGGCAATGCCAGAGCAAATTTGCAATTGCTCAAAAAACTAATGGAGATATCACCTGGTCCAGCATTCTTACCAACGTTCAAATAACTTAGAGCAACAAAAATTTCAGATAATGTGAATTTGATATTGCTGACCGCAGAATGATGTTGAAAGGTAGTGGTAGAAGTTGGAATGTTTTTTAAATGGTTTAGTATACTGATTAAAAAATATGGAAAAATCAATTGGTTTTGCAAAAAATGCTTGGAATACTTTTTGAATCATGTTTAGTATATTGATTAAAAAATATGGAAAAATCAATTGGTTCTGCAAAAAATGCTTGGAATGCTTTTTGAATTCTGTTTAGTATATTGATTAAAAAATATGGAAAAGTCAATTGGTTCTGCAAAAAATGACTTAATGAGGAACACCACTTCATTGACATTAAAAAAAACTGCATGGGGCTTGTTCAGAATTTATACCAAAAAATTAAGGTTCAAGTCAATAACTTAACATTATATCAATTTAAAACTCATATGAGAAACGAATACTTTGACTTTTTAAAGCACACAGCTTGCAATTTGTTTTATTAATTTTTGTTATTAAAAGTTTACCCTGTATAACATCAACATAGCAATGATAGAAATATACCACATGGTGTAGCACTGATAGAAATATACAAAAAGTACTAGTCTAATGAGAAATATTTTTAAAAAATTGATTATGAAAATGCATTTATTTTTCTGGTACACAGAAATTCCAAACTCATTATAATTCACAATTTAAAATGCTGAAAGAATCATGTTTTGCTTCAAAAATAATGTTTCATTCTGTGAAAAAGTATTTTTCCACCATTAATTAGAGAGTAAGGAAACTGGTGAAAATTTAGATTTACCTTTCAATGTTTGTTGAACTTCCTCGTCTGCCTCACCCAAACCAAGCATTATTGATGATTTAGTAATTACATCAGGATTGATATTTTTTGCCTCTTTTAACACTGCCAGTGACTGTCTAAGAATAAAAGAACATTTATGAATAAAATATATTATGTTACAGGAGCAAGAAGATACTGACATAATAAGCAAAATTATTTTATACAATAATTCACCTGTATTTGGCTCGCCTATCACGAACATATGGTGTAAGACCTTCAACTGTTTCGATATTATGAGCAAAGACGTCAAGTCCTGAGTTCACAATAGTTTTCACAGCTTCCATGTCACCAGCAAAATCTGGGACAAGACATTCAACCATTATACTTGATTTCCTAGAAAGAAATGTTGAATCTTAATTCAAAACTTAAACAAACTTGATTGTCTTTATAATACATATATTTGTAAATGATAGTGATAACCTCTTATATTAAAGACAATCAAACGAAGTATTATTATAAAATTGATTTGGTTTTCTGATATCAACGCATGTGTTCAATCTTAGAAAAGGCACATTTTGAGTCCCTTTTGTTATTTTTATTTGAATATGTTTCCCAGTTTGTATTTTCATACATGTGTGTTTTTTCTTTCTTTGTGTCAGTCCATCTAATGATGTGACCCACATTGTGCCAAGAAACTTCATGTCTTTTAGTAAATTGATGCCAGTAAAATAAGTTTTAAAATAATACTGAGTTTGATAGTTTTTAATATTAGAGGATACCACTGTCAAAAACAAATGATGAATCTTGCGATATTGTTAATGGCTATGTAATATTATAATATGACAATTTCTGTTTTACACTTCAACAACCAATCAAAAAATTCTTAGACAAAGCTTTCTGCCATTGAATTCAGTGTATTCACATTCTACATAAATGTACTAACGATGCAGAATGCATATTTTAGCTGTAAATAGAATTGTTCGTTTTTATTAAGGCAAAAAAAAGGCAGCTGTCATTATCACCTTCTGTTATCAGTGTGGTATTACAACAATGGGTTACAAGCAATAATGACAGCTAAATCATACAGGATACGCATTTTGCCAATTAGCATTGTTGATATCACCAGCAAGGAAAGAGTAATTGAGAATAATTTCTTCTGAACGGGAGACGCCAATTGAATTTTGTGCTTTGACATCACAATTTAAATTCAACCATGGGTATATAACTGAAATCATAAGAAGAATGACCAATTCAGTTTTTTGTTAGCATTACACAGTATTTCATAATGTCATGATTGTTAGATGGGTCTGGAAGTGAACAAATGTCATATTTTCAAAACATTTAAACCTCTTCATTTTTAGTGCAATTGTAATTTTCCTTGGCACATAGTTTTACAAAAGACCTGGTCCCTTGAAAATCACACTTCCATACATTCTTGAAAATTTTCTCTCCAACAATATTGTAATTTTAAGAATGAGAGCATAAATAAATGTATTCTTTACGAATCATATGATGCTCAAACTTCATTTTACCAGAAGCATTAGTTAATTCTTAATTGTCCAAACAAACATTATTCAAATGGGAATGAGTGCTACACAGTAATACCCATTTCACAAACATTACGGTATTGTACATTTTACGAACACAATTGTACATTACTCAGACGAGGAAGTTATGGAAGACAAGAAATATTTATTTTCAAGATTCGAATGACAGCCTCCCAGCTCTTTTCACCTTTCCTTATATTAACACTAGAAATATAAAATTTAAATCCACTAAGTCCTGGTTGTTTATACCTTCACCTTCTAGAAGAAATGCTCTTTAACAAGTAGGAACACTGCCTGACAATGAGAGAAAATTCTGTGAACTTCATGCTGCATCACAACATTCCTATTGTTAGATTGCAACGTCGTAATCAGAGTGGCCAAATAGCAAAAGTGAATCTCAAATTATCGTACATAAAATAAAAGTTTGTACAAAATAATTTTCAATAGTAAATTATAATTAAAATCATAATAATAATTAAATGAAGTAAATTATAATTAAATAAAAATAAAAGTTATTACACTGTGCACATATACATCAAGATAAATCTTATAAATCTTAGAAATTAGAATGATCTCTATGCCCTGTATGACAAATTCAAATTAATAAATATTCCTAATTTATCACCTGGATTTTACTTTGCTCTCCTAGGGAATGGTTGCCAGAAAGAATGGTTACGAATAAAATATATGAAACTCGTCTCTAGTGTATTGTAGAATACAATTAAATTGGCAGGCAGATTCACGCCCATGCGCTATCCAAAACTGCGGCATGTGCACAACTGTGATCAGAAATTTTCTCACCAGTGCATCCTTCTTTCACTGAAAATTTACACCCAATCTTATTGTTAGGGACAGTCAGCATTGACAACTAACTCCGACTTCATTTATCATAAATTTTAATACACAACACAAATGAAATTAATACAAATTTTTGGCTGAGCTATTATTTATTTTCACTTCTTGAATTTACGAGGGAGGGGGGTGTCACAAATGCTATGTAATTATTTAAGGGGAGTTCAACCATACATCATTACAGGTAGGTTAGTGGGGGGAGAGTATTTTTAAAATACTACAAATATGAGTTACGTAATTTATAGATGGCCTATTGGGCACTGAGCACTTGGAGTATTTATTGAGTGTGTGTTTTTGTCTCTTCTTGTAATGTTACAGTCAGTCAATGCCCTATATTCCTTCAGGCAGGGGCTTGGCTCCATTAGTTTCATTCTCTAGCCCAAAGCAATAAGTTTTAACTGCATGTTCTTGCGCTTTTTTTTTTACTGCACTTTTGAAATTGTATACTAAATTTCAAAAAATACAATCCCTATTGATAACTGAAAATTAACAGATAGAAATACAAAAATGATGAGAATTATCTAAAAATGGAAATAAAATTAAGGGGAAAATTATATACATACTGCTTCTTAATTTCTTTAACTGTTTCTGCGAAGTGGTTTGAGCCTCCATCAGGAAGATCTGGAAACAAATATGAGTGAGTGAGTACCTAATAAAGGGGATATACAAAGCAAGGCTGCCCCCCCCCCCAAAGTGATTATTTCCTAAATATGAGAAGGCACCTAAAACTAGGATTGCATGAAGTGATGTATACCATATTTATGCACATTACCACTACTAATAACGTTAATGAGATCCACTTCCCATGAGAAAATTATGTCAACTATCCAAATACAACAATTTATCACTGTACATCATTGCTCAAATACACAGATGTCATTTTCAAAAATTGCTATGCTAGTAACTCACAGAATTTTGGCGTTTAAAAAACATCATAGCAAACAGAAGACAGACCATTAAATAAAACTTATTACAGTACACATATATTCAGTGGCGGATGGCGACTTCAAAAGTCATCAAAAAACTAAAGCCGAGTGGATCTCACAAAGAAAGTGGCAGTGTCCTAATTGTCTTTGTCATCAAATTCATTCCATCCGTAGCTCTGCGTTTACAATTTGAAAACAGCCAACAACTTCCTTATGATTGTATGACAAACAATGCTTATATAATGATTAAAATAGATGTTTTCTGTTACATGTTAAGTTTTTTGTTGTTCAACATTTAACTGCCATTCCAACTATAGTTTTGGGGGTTTTCTCAATGGCTCAAAACATATGCTAAGATGGTTATTTCTTTTACCCTCTCAAGAGTCATTGTAAATTTTGAGCCAGCCATTCTTTGTAAAGATAATGTATGATGTTTATTTGCACAGCTAAACAGAAGAGCTTGTTTATGCATCTTCAGCATCAAGTTAGCTCAGTGCCATCCTCTGTGGGATCTTGTAAATGGACCAAAGCAGCCTGCCATGTGTGTGAAAGTGACCTGACCATCCATTTGCTCTTTGCACACTGTTTCTCTCCCCTGGGTTAATACAATACAAGAATATTTTATAATTTCATTGTTCTAAAGTAGTGGTAAAATGATAAAACAACAAAGCTCCAAAAAAAAGTCAAAAACATTTTTTTCCTACTAAAATACTACAAACAAAAAAGCAAATTTAATTACCAGTGATATTTTTTATAATTTCAAACAATTTCATAAGTCAGCCATTCCCAATGTTTGCAAAACAGAAAAATTTGTTGTTACTATTTAAATGACAGTTACTACTTTATTATGGAAAATATTGAATTTAACCCTGCATGCATCATTACTCGATTGCAGTCACATTGATATAACTTTTCAGTGAGAACAGGTCCCACTCAGGTTTGTGACTGGGCCAGAACACACTTCCTATAAAATTTGTGTTGAACTGTAAATCTTCAATTAAAAAAATTTGAATAAAGTATCATAGTATATGTAGGATACTACTGAACTAAATGAATCAGAAGTAAAAATAATAGAACCAAGTTTTGACAAACAATTTATTATATTGCCAGATATTACCAATAATGGTTTACGAGTAATTTCTTTTTTTTATGCCAAGAGGAAAAAAGAGAGAAAACTAACTTATCTTAGTATGCAACTAAACAAGGTAGAGCAAAACTAGTTTGCCATCAAGAAAGAATGTATATTCATTGTCTGGGTAAATTGAAATACTATTTAGATGAGACTAATGATTACTATAATATCTGAATAGTTTTAAATGTATAAAAAATAGTCTTATATTCGAAATGTTATGCAATGCAATTGTTTTATTTCATTGATGTGTCTCTCCAACACACCTTTGAAAGGTCAGGGAAGTCCGTAACTTCATCACCTGTTTCTTACGTATCAACAAGAAGCATTTGATAGAAAACTTTAGATAAACAAACAGAATTCTTTGAGCAGATGAGTTGTCAGTTTTTAAAGATTCTCTGTTCCCCAGGCAGTGGATTATATTCAAGATATGTTAAAACTTTACATGTGTAATGGAACAATCTAATAATTTCAAGTGGATATATTAATTGTAAGATATGATGTCTTGAAATAAATCCGTTTTTTTGTTTAAAAATGATTATTATTTCTCACAACTGTTTAGAGCCATTGGTGGGAAATCATCTGGACATTTAACAAGTAACATTCCAAAAATTAAGATGTTACAATACCTATTCATATTTTACCTGTCAATTTATCGAGAGAACAGCTCCATAATGTTTATTTGCTTCCTAAGAGAAAATGGATGTTTTATTTTATAAGACAATCTTAGAAATAAGTTTTGTCGTTAAGATTTATTTTGTTTCTTTTTCTTTTCCTATAAGCACTGTTCCCATTTCTATCTTTAAAAGTCCCTTGGATAACCATAACTGCCTTACCATCTCTGTCCACAGATGTGAGCACGATGTAATCCAAACCCCACGATGCAATGGCTGTAGCCGTGTTAACAGGTTCTGATGGATCAGGAGGTGGGGGAGCTCGTGATGTCTTCACAGAGCAAAACCTACAACCACGTGTACAAGTGTCACCAAGGAGCTACAAAAGAATTGAAAAACATTTATTATGTAAAATGAATAGAGAAAAAAGAAGCAAGTTCATACTGCTCACATCTCAAAACATTGGAGTCATTGGATAGCATTACATGAAATATATCCAAAACAATACTGTTCATTGTAGGGCACAAATAAATTCAACATAATACTTTGAACATTTTTTCCAAATCTATTAAAGGCAGTAATACAGTTTATTCTCCCTCGTTCTTTAGCTGTATTGCCTGCTCCCTCCCCATTTCACACACACTTTTAAACTTTTTGGAGATTAAATAGATAAATAAATGAACTATAAAAAATCAACAACCGGAGAGGTTCCAACAAAGAAAATGAGACCTTTTCACCCTTTGAGATGGGAGATTTTGTACTATTTTTTCCAACATACACAATTTTAATTTTTGTATTGCTTTCAGTTAAAAAGTTGTAAACAAATATTTATAGTGCCTCCATAGCAAAGAATATCCTCCAAATACATTTTTGTGGGTGCTAACAACAACATGAGGCAACCAACAGCAAGGAAAGTAATCCTGAAAAATATCACAATTTTAATTTATATCATCATGATTTTTACTTGTTTGACTGTGGTTTTGCCTGAAAGGAAGAGTATTTTGTTGTATAATTTAGGCTACTTTTAACACATTATTATTTTCTACTACACAAAGAAAAACATTTTACTTGCAAATCAACTTTTATTGCAATTTCAAAAACATTTTGTTCATGTGACCTTCAAAATAAAAAACTCCTTCAAAAATAATAAAAGTAAATTGTTTGAAATGTTTGCTTTCTATTAATATGTTGGCAAAATTAATATAATATCTTCGAAAAACAGAATGAATACTACATCTAAAAAATTGGCTTGGAAAAGAAATTTTTTCTAATGTCAGAATTCAATTTACTTGGAACAGTTGAAAAATTCGGTTAGTATAATTTCAGAACACACCTATATACATAACTGATACATTCGCTAGGCCAAGTAAATCTTCTTGACTTTTAACCATAATCTAGGGAAAATAATGCCAAGTAATGGACAAAAGAAACTTATTTTAAGGACCAAGCAATGAAAGTCAAAATGTGTAACTGGTACATTCGTATGCTAACAAACATTGGTCAAAATATGATTTTCCTCTTGGAATAAAGGGTTTGTATAAATAGGACGATCAGTCACATAACATCAACATTTCAGAAGAATGTTATAGTTCTTTTCACATCAATTAATCATTAAAGTATTTCCATTAGTACCAGCAATCAAGAGTGCAAAAATCCAATAAGACTACCACTTAATAAATATTAGTTTTCTGAAGTAAAAATCCTTTCTCAAAATGCCTTGTCAAATTCTTTTGTTCCAATTGCATCATAATCCTTTGCATTGCAAATCCTTTTGTTCGAGGACTGATAAAAACAATGATCGGTAAAATGAGAGAGAATGCATTTTATATAAATCTCATTTCTTTGTTTATCGTTAAACTATTTCAGTAAACTTAAAAAACGCAATTTTTTAACTTATATATTAAAAAGAAATACCTATATTCAGTATAAAAATTAAGGTAATTTTAATGAAACAATTTTTATAATCATTCAAGTTTTGAACCACAAAAAAATTTCTATACAGTTGGTATTCACTGTACAGTATGAACCCAGGGGTTGTTTGAAAGTATTTGGTCAACCTCATTATTATTCATCCCATTTAAGCCCAAAAAAATGTAATAATAAAATATAAATAATTTGTAAATAAAATATAATATAACAAATATATTATTTTGATTTTATTTCAATGATTTTAATCTGAATTTTATTCCACTGTTTACCACATTCATGAAATTTTGTAAATCTAACATATTACATGAATGTAATTATCCTAGAATATTTTCGTAATTGCATATAACCTTTGTTATATTCAATTACATTTTTGTAAATTATCAAATGTATCCATTAACTAAACTGTATAAACTTGTTGTAAATTGGGCAATAGCCAGTTACATTTAATTCAATTTTTTATTTCCAGAAATCATGATGATTGCATTCTTCCACAAAATGTGTTTATTTTATGATTTACTCAAAATTAAATGTTTATATTAATTTCTGATACAACTTCAAAATCCCTAACCAAACTTCAAATTTCAAACAAGTTAAATGGAAAAATAATATTTATGACTTATATTTACGAGCAGGGAAAAATCATTTAATTTAAAACAAATCAGCCCAGAATACAACTATCAATTGTATCCAATAACTTACCATTATTGTAGCGGTAGCAGTTCCATGAATTCCCCCACCCCAACATTCTCCAATATTGGGACAACGAGCTTCTTCACAAACTGTGTGTAGATTGAGAGTGCGTAGCTGATCTTTTATCCGACTGAAATTGTTACCAGTAGGAATTTTTGTTTTAAGCCATGGAGGTAAGTGCAAACGTTCAGAATCTTTCTCTCGTTTCAGTTTTCCTTCATAGTTGCTCCAATCTTTTACATCTGGTTCCTCTACATGAGATATGAATTCTTTAAGACCTGGGCCAGAAGCCAGTTTTTCTCGAATTCTATCTGGAAGAGTGTATTTCAACCTGGTACACTGCAACAATATTCAACAATTCTTAGAAAAATTAATAAAATTTCAAAAACCTCTTTAAAATATCCTCGGTAAGAGTTACCTTCAAACACATTTCACTAGAGCACAATTTTGCTCCAAGTTCAGTATATAAACGAAGCATTGTTTATAGTTGAAAACCTGAAAAAAGGAAATAGTTTCAATACAGCACGATATATGCTTTGGGACACAGTATAAAAGTAATATGGAAGACAAAACTGCAACAAATAAGTGAAGTATGAATTAAGTTCCTTGGGAAAACATCTCACAAAAGATAAAGATAAAAATTAATGTTGACAAATTAGGGTATTTTTAAGAAACGAAGAGAATTTTTAACATAAAGAACTAAATAAATACAAAGGGAGCAATTCACATTACAAAGCCTCTCTGACTAACTTCAACACAAGCATCAAGAATTTTCTATATTACTTTTTTTTTTACATAAAAAAATTTAAAAATTATCATTTTGCAGGAAGATGTTGCAGAGTAGTAAAAGTTTTTTTGACAAATG